ATTGAAAAAAATCTTCTATTCATTTTCTGGCGGATGACCTTTAAAGTTAGTATCAAACACTCAAAACTATTATAAAATGATAATAATTTAAATATGAATACGTACATGGATCTTCAAAGTTAGGAATAAATTAAAATTCTGGATTCTCAAGTTTTCTTTACATAAAAATGAATAAAAATCTTTAAAGGTAGATATATTTAATGGTAGTGATGTATGTAAATTCGATGAGTCAATGAGTTAACACCTGTGCTTCAGTATTACTTCTGATTATCCGCGTTCTTGAGGATCAAAAACTTCAGGTATATACTTGATAGTCGATCAGCTTTGATACATCTGACGTGACGGTTTAAAATAGTCTAGGACCGGTCATACATTGTGGCCCACTGTATACCCACTCTACGACACGGAAGCTGACGTTTATCCATCGTTATTTTTTTTTCTAGTGTTTGTTTTCACATTTTAGAAAAAATATATATCCTTTTACATCATAAGTTGAATTAAATCGAGTGGAAGAGGAATGAGATAAGGAGATGTAATAATTTAATAGGACCAGATTATTTTTAACGTGTCAACCTTTCCAACCCTCCTACGATCACGCGGAGCTCCACGTGAGTTAAACAGCTCAATGCTACTATAGAAAGTACATTTTTTTCTTTCCCCATCATGCCAGCGGCCTTTCGTGTGCCTTGATCCCACTTCAGGAATTTTATTCTTTGCCTTTTCCCTATCATACTGATTCATGTGATCTAGATTCTTGTTAATATTTGGTCCGGTTTCGTCTAAATTCCCATTACAAAAAAAAAATAACAATCATTTCAATAGAAAATTAATTTTTTTCTACTCAAACAAAATTATCTAACTCACAACTTATGTATTCATAAACATATCATTATCGTTTTGCATAATTATTAATCGAAAATTAATGAAAAAAATCATTCAAATGACAATAAAATTATTCATAAAACACTTGATTAGTGATATTTATTTCAATCAATCTATAAATTATGTATTTATTGATGATTAATAATGATTTTTTGTTTTAAATAAATCGATTTTTCATGCATAAAAGCTGTTCATCAATAAAACTTGCATTTTTACTTAATTCAACGCAATAAAATAAAATTTTTTAATCAGTAAAAAAAATTGTTTTCGTAGAAAAGATTGTTTATTTTTAACCGAAAATAACGAATCGATCACGGAATAATCTAACGGAGAATTTAGGTCGTTTGATAATTAGTAACAGATTAGCAAATGGAGTATTTCCATTTGTACAAACAATTTAGAACTCGCGCGAATCTTTTGCAACGACAGTGTCACAACTCGACCGTCGAATCAGTCACTCATTTAATCACGACCTTGGCGATATACGCCCGTGTATTTAATACCCCGGGGCCATAATAGCAGTCCCTTTTTTCCCCGAATTAATGTGCTAGATTAACGAGTTTTCGTTCCTAAGTATCCTTGACGTTTTTTCATTCTTTCATTTATTTATTTATTTATTTATTTATGTTTCTATATATTTTTTCTTTGATTAGCATTATCGTATGCTTACAAACAATCACTTGTTACGACGAAAGAACACGAATAAACACGACAAATATTTTACCGAATTATTCGAAGTGCAATTAACGACAGCAGAAAAGAACTTTAAACGCATGAGGAATCGTCAATTCTATTTTGCAATCGATTGTGCCTAAGATCGAATCACCAGCCATACAAACTTGCATAGCGACCTAATGTGATTATTTTTTACTTTACTATCATTCTGACTCATGTGATTGCCACATTATCTTTTCTTATTTACATATGTGCTCATAATACAATTATTTATATCAACTTTGTATATGTTTTGATTATTTAATTAGAGCAGTCAAGTCAGATAACGACAGATTTTTAACGAATATCAAATAATCTACTTGACTTTAGCTATTACGAAGTGTAGATTGCATTGATTACCTCCTGATTTGTATCAGTTTTACGTCTGAGTACGTATGGTAATTTATACTTTATACGGAATATTCAGTTTACGTTCATTAGTCTCTTGCCATATTTCACCAGATATCAATTCTTAATTTACAGGCAAATAAATTGACACTGGATTGATGTTTATAATGTGCAGATCCTTTTGCACAAGACATAACTGCACCCTCAGGCAAAGTTATTTTTTTTAAATAAAGAAAACCATATGAAGAAAAATAATTATAGTGTTTATGATTTTTCCTTTTTGTGTTTATGACTAAAGTCATAGTAAATACGACTAAAATACTATAATTTCAGTTTTAAATGTAGTATTTTTTCTTTTTGGTAATAATTACTATATTATTTAGCTAAGAAAACTCTGTGATATTAGCTGAAGACTATTAATATAGGTACCTCTGTTGGTGTAATACAGTTATATTATCATGAAACTATTCCCTCTTACAACGTTGTTTTTAATATCGCTGAATATAAATGAGTGGTAAAAGTTATTTTAAATAAATTAGCCAATACTGGGTGGCATAGTTTGAATTGCTGTAAAATTAATAATTTATGTTGCTGTCTAAAATTTTTATTCTTAAGAAATGATTTTCATATTTAGAATATTTTCTTTAGTATCATGTACATTTAGCTGATTGAAAAAGTCTTGAGAAAAATTTTTAACAATTAACATTTTTCTGCTTTGATTTCTGGAATGCAGATCAAAAAAAAGAAAGAATAATGAGAAGTACCTTATTTAGTCTTTAATTTTTTTTCGGTATTATACGTAATAGAGAACTATTCTTTAATTGAAAATGGAAATAAATAATTGTTGATGGGAAATAATATTTTTGATAAGAGCTTTTGGAGCTTATTAGAGTCTTATGAATTGTTTGATAATTTTTTTATGACGTTCTTACATCAAGTATTAAATAGAAAATGTTTTTCTCCTGTTAGTTTACGACTGTTTGTGTTTCTTTCACAGTTGATGATGATGATGATGATGAGAAATTTCACTTAAGATTTATCCAGAGTCACACGTAATTATCATTCATCAGCAGCATATGTTATTGTAAAAAATAGTTAATTGAATTTTATACAACAAATGTCACAGCAGTTAACTTGAAAACCAGTAAATAAGAATAAGATGAAGGAGAAATCCTTTGAATTGCAAATTTTTGGTTTGAAAAACAAGATTATACCGTTATGAATAATTTTTTTTTAACAGATATAGTGTAACTTTACATGTTATTTTATTTAATTTTATTTTTTGAAGGAAAGAATAAAAAATATACCAAAAGTAAAAATTGTCAGAAATTAATCGAGTAATTGATAACCGAGAACTTGTTATGAAATCTTTCAGAGAACGAAGGTAACATAAGGTATGGGAAGTAGAGAGTCAAGGCGGAAGGAAACTCGTCTGTAAATCTAAATAATAATTAACCGCAAAATTGTGCTACGCGTGAAAGCGCTTCAAGATTAGATCGGTTGTTAGTATTAAGGAATTAAATAAAATCCAGTATTATATATTTCTATTTTTTATGTAGATTGTCCTGACTCGATTTGTTCAAAGGTTACTCTCCCTTTCTAAACAATTCAATTCACCACAATAACAATCATTACTTTCATCGAAAGTAAAAAAATAATAAATTAAATAAAAAATCTAATTCATTTCAGATAAAAAAAATATAAACAAATTAAATGTATCCTTGATCATGAGGAAATCAATTAAATATTTTTTTGTCATTACTAAACAACGTCCTCCAATCGATTATTTTTAATTAGAAAATATTTATTCAATCAGATAAATACCTAATCAATTTTAAAAAATTGCATAAAAGTATTTTTTCTCATTTAAATAATATTTATTTCGAATGCGGAAGTAAACAAATTAAAGTGCACAGATAAAAGATAAGAATTGAATTGACTGATGTGTCAAAGAAAAATCGGATAAAAATGTAAGCGCAATCGTTACGGTCAGTTAGACACGGCCAAGACTCAATGGTAAATAATAATATTGAGAGTATCGAAATCGAGAGTATCTTGACGTGAGTGTGTAGTGTTTTAGGAGCTGCGGCCGTCGTTCTAAGGAAAGTGTAACAGACTCCATAAGCCAGGTAAGACGCCGCACGGTTAGGATTGTGTCAGAGAACAGAGAGAAATGAAAGTGCTCCGGAATTGATCGTAGCTCACGATATCCGCATGCAAGCGTGGAGATATTCACTCGGGCGCCGCCATCACATCGTGGAGACCAGGTCGTTACACTTCCATAAACATTCCTTACACTTAATATTGCATTTTATGCATGTTACATTTTTTACATTTCTGCTAATATTTTATCCCCAGTCCAAAACGCATCGTGAGAAATAGATCAATATGGAGAGTTAAACGATACATTTATGAGCTTTCACTTTGGCTGATTGCCATTTTAACTTACTATTTATTTAACACCACCCCCCACATAACAATATTTATTGATACCATTTATTACTTATTTATTCATTGTAAATAGTCATTATAATGATTATAAATAACGCAAAAGGTTATAAAATATTTAATATGGAATTTTAATATTATTCTTCTTAGACTTCTTCTTTGTTAGGTGCTGTCTAAATACTTTTGTCTACCGTAATTTCTTCTGCGGTGCACGACTGTGTACTTGACAAAGCACTCGTTTGATTTTTTTTTTTTTTTCGTACGTGTTCTGATTATCAATCAGTTTGCTATTGTTCTCCATCATGGATCGTGACAAAAAGACATATAAAGAGAAAGGAAGAAGATAAAAATGAAGGATATCTACTGTTTTTTTTTTTCTATCATCTAAATAAATTTCCCAGTAATTATTTATCAGAGATTAAAAAGAAATGATCGCTAGTCAGACAAAAAAAACAGTTTATCTGAGTTCTTAAAAATGGTTAAATTATTTGAATATTTTTTCGCAAAATAAATAGTCTAATGAAGTAAACACCTAATTGATAATAGTAATTGCATCATTGCTCATTCATGAGCTGAATACTTGGGATTTAATGTCAAAAGGTACTTACGTCATTTATAGATGGTAAATGTTGAATACTGTTGATCGGATGAACGATCCTGACCGGTCTTCATGTTTCCATCGTTGCCGCTGCCAAGTACCTCGGCATCTTTCAATTAACTGTCTTCTGGTTTCACACACCGTTAATTTGCTACTTCTCGATTCAACGTTTTATTGAGCAAGAAACAAATGATGATAATGGAGTAAGAAATTCGTTTTTCACGCTACCGATCTTTAGATTTTCAATTTTTTCCTTTGATATTTTATGTCTCTTATTAACTTTTGTTTCCTTTTTAGATGATGATTAGTTTATCCGAGTTAAAAGTGGCGATGTAATTTCACCACGACACTGGAGAAAAAAATTTTTTATTTATTTTTTGTTTACCTTTTTTCAAAAACTCATTAAGAGGAAATGAGAAACAGGCAATTAATTGATGTATTCTATCTATATTTTTTTAGTTATATATAATTTATTTATCGAAAAAGTAATTGAAAAAAAAAAATAGATAATTAATCAACTTTATAGAGTTTCAACAAAGAAAAAATCAATTCATTTTTTTTTAATTAAAAGAAAAAGAGGTAATTTGTCTTTCATTGATCACTAATGAGCGAGAGCTGATGAAGACGAGAGCAAAGAAAAAAATTTTATAATTTTTAGATTACACTAGGAGATGAGAAATTTAAATGTAATTTTATTTCGTTTAATTATTGAAAGATTTATCTATCAGATCGACCAAGAAAATCTAGGAGATTGAACGGAAACGAATGAGTTTCACCATCAATAAGTTGTTAAAAGAAATCAAAAGTGACGTTTAGAAATGGTATCAAGCTCATTTAAATGTAAATAGAACATAAAAATGTATAGTTTTTTTTTTTTTTAACTCGTAGCTTTTGTTTTCATGTCAGATCATCAGACTCATCAACTGCCTTACATTTTGTAACTCTCTTGAAGACTTTTCGAATAGCTTACATTATTTTATGTGGATTACAAAATTTTAAAAAATACTAGTTTGCAAAGTTTATTAAGTGAAACCTACTTGATACATGATAAAAATTCCGGTCAAGAGAAATTGATTAAAGTGGTACTTCATCCGGAAGTTGCACAGTCGATGGCTATTCTCAGGTGTTCAAGATGACGGTTGTTAATGCAAGAAGAGTATAGTACACGCTTTGATACTTTGCTCCAATCATGATAAAAAGAAAATCAAGTCTATTGACTGAGGTTAAAAAAAAAATTCCATAAATCTTTGGGTGAAACTTTTAGTATTTTTAGATGAAATTATAAACTTTCTTTGAATAAAAAGAAGTGGAAAAAATTTTGTTTAATAAAATATAATCAATCAAAGAGTGAGATTACTACCAAATGAAAATGAAACTCATGACCTCAAGGAAAAAACCTGATGTTTCGTATGGACTCGAGTGTTGGCCTAGAAACTCGAGTGATTTCTCTATCGTTGGGAATTGCAGTCATCGAAGCCGTTGAGACCGGCGACACTGGATTTTCATGGAAATGTTTATAAGACTAAATCAACTTGATCGAATGTCATGGACTATTTTGTCAATTACCGCAACATTTTTTTCAACCAGTGAATTTTTAAATGATTTTAATTAAAAAGCAGAACAAATTGTTTACTCTAAACTACTGATCTGATTTCACGGGGATCAAAAGTAGAGTAAATACTGCTGATAAATTTAATATAATTTGTAACAAGTGTTTTTTTTTGTTGTTTAAAAAAAAAAGATCATACAAGCTAAAGATATGTCATTAGAGTGAAAATATAGAGATTAGAAAATACCTCAAGTCGCGATCTAAGTTAACGATCAATCCAAGTATAAAATTGTGGAAGCATCAATCGTGATAAATTATCCATATCATGATTACTTTGTGGCATGTTGCATATAAGTACATACACACGAATTACTTTCAATGATTTTTTCTTTACTCTCGTTCTCCAACGTTTCGCGGAACACGTCACGGCTCGCTACGCGCCTTTGCTTTATTCAAATATAAATAAGTCTAAGACATTTTCCAGCCGAGACCAATCACAACTCGTGTCATGGAGGAATTGCGCAAAAGAGGCGCGAGAAGTCGAGCACAAGACGGCCACGATTAAGCTTATTAGTGAAGGGATGATGATGATCCTTACGTGATTTTTGAAATCCAACACACGATAAATGCACTAGATTTTGTTAAAAAAACGTATAACAAAATAGCTTATTGTATGTTTTATTTTTATCAGTAGTATATCTTCTTTAATTGAAACTTTAATCTGGTATATATCCACTTCTTTCGCCACTTCCTTCTTCACTTTTCACGCGGAACTCCAATGCAGTGCGCTCGGTAAAATCACTGTTGGCATTGTCGCGCTTCTAACTCACGTGTAAGAATGACTTTTATCGATTTGTTTATCCGAAAAATAATATTTTAGATAAAAATCGATTTTATCATTAACTAGTAATAAAAAAAAAATAAAAAAATCATAAACAAAATAGAAAAAAATTTTTGAATTTTGAAAAAGTCCAAAGAAATTTGAGTTTCGTTGAATGGACCGAGTGAAAAAAAAATTAATTAAAAACTTGAACGGAAAACGTTTTAATGCGAATACGTGAGCAGACTCGGCCCAACTGAGGACGACCGATAGTTGCCCGGCGTCGTTGGCAAGTGGAAGGTGGGGACCACTCTGGTGACTGGGGACCTCGGAGTGATCGCGATTGTTACATGGTGTACCCGGGAGAAGGCCTGTCGGTTTCGCCTACTCTTTTACCACCACCTTCTTTCAATCCACCACCACTGGCATCAACACCTTCTCCTTGGCTTCTCCTTTTACCTTTTCATTATAATACCTGTACCACTATTGATATCGTCGGTCAACACCGTTGGTCATTTCAAAATCGGGAAAGTTACCGGCGATCCGTGGAATCTTTATTTTTTTTTACTGCAGGATATCAATAATGAAAGACAACGTGATATAATAATGAGAAAGGTATTTATGCTTTTAATTGTATAGCAATTGATGATGTCGGCCTTGAAATCGATTAACAGTCGATGATAGTTGTTGAATTTTCGTAATTTTCTAAGGAAGTAAGTAATCGTTTCGAAATTGGGAAAGCTATCATTGATCCGTGTGCTAATTTCTTATTTTTTCCTTGCTTGACTCGTCGTTGAGGTCCAGCAGGTTCACTATTCTAATGTTGTAATTTCAGGATATTGCCAGAGATTGAAAGAAAAAAATAACAAAAGTGATGAATTAATAAGGAATTCTTATTGAAGAATTTCCAAAATTGTTTAGTTAAATTTATAGCTGAAAAATATCAGCTATCATTAATGAAACATATGAGAGTAATTCGAAATGAAATCGGTGGCTAAAAGAAGTCTTGGAGGTTTTTTTTTTTATTTTCAAGAGTGCATATCTTGATGGGAATAGGCTAGAAGAATTTTAAAAATTGTCGGTCTCGAGGAACACTCAAATTTTTTTCCTCTTTTGTTCTTGTATATTTAGCGTCTGTTAAAAGCAAGGCAGAAGTGTGTTGTGTCGTCGTAGCTTGAATGAGGCACAAGGTCCGAGAGAACAAAACAAGGGCACTATTCTAGCGACGTGATTTGCCACTTTCGCTTGAAATTTAAAAAAAAAGTAACAAAACTTTATTCCTTTTTTTTCAAGAAAATTAACTTAATAAAAGTCTTCAAAAGATGCAGTTATTTTATTTTATAGCACTCGATAAGAAAAAATATTTTTTACGTCAAGTATATTAATCAACTCAATAGACCTCCCAAATATGAATATTAATAAGTGAATTTATTGTTGATAGATTTATTGTAGCAGTTGGGATTTTATAGTATATTTTTTTTTCTTAATTAAAATTAAATATTCGAAAAAAGAATTCCATGAAATTCATATCATACTCTGGCTCATAAATAACGAAAAATAAATTGGATAATCTTAGAGAATAATTTTTCCTTTTAAGCGGAAGTGTCGATATATAAAGCCGGATATTTCTAGTCATCGATACCGACCCTAAGTCAAACAACTCTCCACTCCCAGAACCTGGAGCGAGATTTAAAAAAGAAATAAACTTGCTCAAGCCATTACTCCTGAGAACAAACGATCAAGGATCAGATACTGCAGAAGGTTGTTATTGACTTGGTGTAAGTGGGAGGAGAGGTCAAGGGGTTACCTGGTCCATCGAACTATTCTATTGGCTTTTGTCGAGCTGTTAAGTGGGAAATAAAGCAAATAAGTTGAATGTCTAGATATATTGTATTCAAGGCGCGGCAAAGTCGAGCGTTTTCCGGTTTTTCCATTTTGCAGCAGACTAAAAGAACGAACCTGCACAGGCGCGCCGACTGCACGAGAGCGAAAGTATTTTATACCACGCTCGGCTTGGTAAGAGAAAGGGGACATGACGGTTTGCTCCTAATTTTCTGTTTTAACTTCAATGCTCCTGCACCAGCCACAAGGTTTACACAAATCATTTAAATGATGAGTTGTACAATTGTCTACAAGTATGATGATTAGCTACACTATTAACATGCATATCATCATGGAGTGCCAGAAATGTTACCAACAGATGAAATGATGATTAAAATGAAATATTAATAGAATAAAGAAAAGAGAGAGGAAGCAAAGAAGTTTGCATGGATAAAAGTGAAATCGGTTCGCCTTTTTATGCCTTGTACCACTGACGTTTATTACATGTTCATGTGGCGTATGAACGAATTCCAAGACTGTTATGTTTAGGGAAGTGTTATGCATGAAATAAAATTATTTTAAATCCACCGGAAATCCGTAACATATTCTGTGTTATCTATCTTTTCATTAAATCCTCTAATAATCCTAAGTGTCTCATAAGCCTATTTTTTGTCGCTTACATTTTTTCTTCTTTCATTAAATTCATTTCTTTACATTTTTTTTTCTCTTACAGGATCTATTAAATTTAATAATAATCGTAAATAAGACATAAAATTATGATGGTATCGTTGAAGAGGATAATTTATTTGAATTTAATTAATTTTTTAATTATTTATGCAATAAAAAAAAAAAAGAATTTTATGATTAAAATTATTATTTCATTTTCATTAATTATAATCAAGAAAATTAATCATTTACCCATTAATTTAATCGTAAATAATTTCGTTAATGAAACAATTTCTTAATCTGAAAAAAAAATAATGATAAAATAAATTCTATATAATCTATAGACTTTTTTTAAAAAATAAATAAATCATAAGTAAACAATAACTTCGCAGAAATATTGATCTTTCAAGGCTTGTTTATTTCATAATAATTTCAATTAATTCGTTAAATCAACACTGATATAACAACCAATTATTGAAAATTTTTCACACTGTTCAATACCTGCTCTTTTTTTTTTCTCAAATCTATTTCATTCATTTCCGCAATCCATCACCGCAACCTTCGCTATGATGTCATTAAACCATTCTAGTTATCACTTGACAAAATAACCACAGGAAGGAAAAAATATGTTTAACTTTCTTGAATCTAAAAAGTTCATCTAAAAGTGTAGTGTAAAAAATATTTGGCAATTTATAAGCAAACAAGAAAAATAAAATTCCCATTCATGATTCGCTTGGATAGTAGTTACGCCAATATACTGATCAGACTCGGTACTCTGTACCGTTAAACTTTTTATAGATAATCGCGAATATAATCTCGTAACAATGAAACAATCTTGAAATTACGCAAAACGTTTCACTCGAGTGTAAGTAGCGATGATAAGCGTAAAAGTAAGAGAAAAATATAGGGCTATAAAAAAAAAAGAAAGAATAATTTAAGTATTTAATCATTTCAATAAAATGACGATAAAAATGATCCTTACTTTTTTTTATTGTTCTATTTTAACATCAGCCGAAGAAAATAAATGAAAAACGAAAGTAATCAATGACTATAAAGTAGATGCATGCAACAATTGGTTGCAAGATCGTGAACTAATTATCAAGATTACATAATTAGTAGATATGTTTATACTGTAGAATCAAGTTACTATTCTACATCTAGCTATTTATTTTAGAAAACTTAATACACTGCCACCTTTCACAATGCACTGAAGGAGATCAAAGAATCGTGGTTTAAATGTAGTGTACACAAGTTACAAGATATCTATGAATTTAACAGGACTTAGGACACACTATGCACCTCAGAAATATATTTGCTCACGATCTGAACATTTACTGATTTACATCTGCTTTACGTCGTCATAAATCGACGGCAAATTCTCTATAAATCATGCTTTCTTTTTTAATAGTTCACATAAAATTAAGCAAATAGTTTTAAAACACAATAATCAAGCAAACCTGAATCTACTGTTTGCATTGAAAGGTGATTTCAATAGTTTTGTGAATGAATTATTTTATTTTTTGATTGCCAATTTTACGCGAATTATTATTCGACCGACACTATAAATCTTAACTTAGATAATGTAAAAGAAATTTCTATTTTTCGTGTTATCTAAGCGATTTTGAAATATTCTAATTAGCAAATAAATGATGAAAAAAATTATTTAGACAGCTGAGTGTTATTTAATGATTTAACAATGAATCTGAAGATTTTGCAATGATGCTTAAAGAGAAATTATTCGTTAAAAATAATAATATGAAAACAAAAAACCCATGATCATAATAAAAGTTTTATTTGTTTTTTATTCTTTTTTCTTTTTCATCATTTTGATCATCGAAATTTTATCGCCAAGCAGTAGGAGTCGTAGTTATGACCTAGGATTCTTAGAATCGACAGGAAGTTTCGAGAACCAAACACGTGTGTTGCAATCGGTAAATTCATGAAAACCGGTGCCAATTTATCACCATCGTGAATCCGTTAAGATAATCAGAGTCACCTGTCGTGTCTTTTTCCTCTATCTCTCCTTAGTTTTATTTTTTGAAGTGACTTGTCACCTATGAAACACAACTATTATTGATTGAATAGTTGTATTAAGTTTGAGTAGTATAACATTACGCAATTCATAGCTCGATGACAAGATCAATAAATTTTGACTTCATTTTTTTCTCGTCTGTTTTTTTTAGTTGAAATTTTTTTTTAATTAATCAAATTGAATTAAGTTTTCAACGTTTAATAAACTTAACTGAAGGCCATCAGTAGATATTTTCAATCTATGAGAACCTTTCCATTTCCATCAAAACATTTTGATGTCACTTAATTAAAACTGATAGATTGATGTGTTGCTTACAAATTGATTTTTTTTTAAACAAATTTCCTATTTGTAATCTTGACATAATTACTAAGAAGTTAAATCTAGATTTAACTGAATGAAATATCTGGCAGAGACCAGTCAATACATGGAAATCTGCGTCACTTATCATTTGTTATCACTTTAAAGGATTTTTTTTTTTTAATTATTAAATGATTATAAAGTTATGTTTATTCAAGAAAAATTGATTCCAAGGTTTACCAACCTTTCGAACATGAAGACAACCGTTAGAATTAGAAATTTTATGGATGAATAGATCAATTTACAGATCTTTCTTTACGCCTTGCGTCACAACAATCTTCTGAGCGAGAACAGTAACAATGATAAGTAAACACACTTCAACGAAAGATTTCGACTCTCGCTTCCTCACGAATCATATTATTGTCATTACGTACCCAACAATTTCGTAATACTAAAAGTAACGAATTCATTGATTTTAATTGAAGTTGTAGAATACATTCCGGAAATAATAAAACATGAAAGATTTTCACTCAAAATTTTACTCCGATTTCAATTATTTAGTTTAAGAAAAAAAAACTTTCAATTTCTTCTTTCTCTTTCACTAAATATTACTTTTCTTTTGTAACGTCTTATAACAGAATTAATTTCGCTTTGCTTGAAATTCATAAGGAAAGGTCGAATGTAACACGACGAATTCTCATTTTTTGCCAGCCAAGATCTAGAAAGATATGGAGTAATTAATAAATTAATAAAATATTCTACTTCATACCTTATTATTTTAGTTGTTCTCAAGAATTTATTTGTAATAATAAAACTTTATGCGAACCTAATAATTGTTTATTAGCACATAAACCATTTATTAATGGTTAATATACAGTTTTTTGAGTGAATTTGTTGAGAAATAGTTCAATAACAGTATTTATATCACATATAATTTGTAAAGTTTATTCTTGAAGGTGTAGTAATAGAGTAAATTATTGATTGTTAATCTTTCATTTTTTTAATGACTTTACGACTTCTTGTGATTTTATTGAACATAAAGCGGGCCGTCCCAAGTATTCTTTTATTGAAAATATAATTTATTAAAACCTTTTTTATTCGACATCTTCATTCCTAGAACTTTGTTATGATAGTTTTTATAAATTATTTCACCGAAATTTCCTGAAGGAAAAAAGGTTATTCCTTTAAAATATCATTTATATAAATCTGTTAATCTATAGATCATCAAAGGTGAATGCTGTTCTTCATCTTACAAAAGCATATAATTTATATACATCTTGTAGGTCATTGACCAAGTTGAAAACAACTATTACTAAATTATGAACTGAAGGTTTCTACAATCAATTAAATAATTTTTATTAATAATTCGAACCTTTTTTTTTTGTTTATTTTACAACTAATTATTTTGTCTCATTAAAAATGAATAAATATTTGTGTATATACATATAATTACTCTCATCTGTTTTATAAAAATCATGAGGCAATAATTCAAACCAAAAAGTATAATTATAATAAATTATGATAGTTATATAGATACAGTTTATATAAAATAAAACTGATGAAAAGAAAATGATGCAGAAAAGGACAATTAATTATTTATTTGTATATTTTGAAGTAATCTTTATTGATCTAGTATACATGATTACACGGATAGATAATTACTTAAGTAACAACAATAATAATTATGACAATAGCTGATATATATAATACAATTAAGGATAATAATTAATGAAAAAACCAATTATCTTTTTGTATTTCTGATGACAGCTGCCTCAATGCCATTTTAAAAATTCTAGCTTTCTTGCAGAGTATGATATCCTTTTTCTACTTGCCTTTTCTACGGATTGTCGCTGTGATACCACTGGATATATAATTTTTTTCAATTTTCAATAGTGGTGGATGAATCACTAATTTAAGTGTTCTATGATCATTTGCTATTCCTCAATATATAATAATAATAATAATAATAATAATAATAATAATAATAATAATAATTTTCACGTCAAATCGAGCTACAATCACAAAGTTATTATGCTTCTTTTTTTCTTCATTTGTACAAAGGTACAAAAGATTGTACGATCGATTATGTTTCTTTTTTTTTTTCTTTATTTTGATTAAGTAATTAATGTGTAAATCTACAAATTCATTGATTCTTTCAATATAAAGAAGAATCGTAAATTCTTTAATCTACGTTAAATTTTTTTAAAGATAATATTTATTTTAAGAGCTTTCTTTATATGATTTCTATTTTCTATTTTAATGAAGAAAGAGCAGATTTCATCTATTATCATCATCTTTTATCGACAACAGTATTGAGAATAAGTACAAGTTTTGATGTAAATCTTCTATAAAGAAATTTAAAAAAAAACAATTATATTATCCACGTGCTGTGGGCTCACCCAAGACAGACAAACTTGACTAAAGAGATAAAAAACTCAAAAAAAGTATTTAGTGAATATATCTTCATCGTAGAAAAATATTTTCAATGGAATTTATAGTGAATAACTAATTTAAAACATTTAATGATCTTTTATACTGATTTTAATGGCAGTTATTGATTCTATCCAAAAAATGCTTCAATATGTTGATTAAGTTTTGTGCAAGTTAATTGTCCACGTCTTCTGATGATTTTAAATGAAATAAAAAATTGTGTAGAAAGAGTTTGTTATTAATCACGTTTCTGTTCGTTTAATTAATGGGTTCTACTTCAACATACTCGTATATGAATGGTGATGATGGCGGAGGTTCATTGATAATTCCTGATGAAGATAAATCAATCGACGGATTATCCCACTCATCAATCTTAGTTGGATCAATATCAAGGCCAAGACGTAAATTAGCCGGAGTGTTGCCAATCACAAAATGATCCTCAGTCATTGGAAGGATATCCTTCAACAACCGCCAGACTTTTTCTTCTGCAACCACATGCACCTTTGGAACTGGAAATCCGTTGAATGGAGATGCTACAGGCAAGGTATAAGCGCCCATGTTTTCAAAAATTATCCAGTCTCCAAGGTCCATGTCTTGCATCAATACATTTTCGACCACTTGATCAAGTCCATCACAAGTTGGACCCCAAATACTTGAGGGAATCAATTTTCCACAACCAGCCTGAAAAAAAATATTATCTATTAGCAACTGGATAACTCGTTTGTTTTGAACGATGCTGTTTTGATCAGTGAATAATGATAATTAATTTTTTTTTGTTTTTCTCATCATGTAAAAAAATTTTATACAATTATTCTTTGTGTTAGGTCATTGGTCTTTCAGCAGTAAATTATACATAATTTATTTATCTTCTCGAAACATCTTTAAACGTTTTATTTTGACATGAAAATCGTTTTTCAATAAAACTGATAATTAACTAGTAGAAACTCCTAGAATGCATTTGAAAAAACTCTAAGAAAAAATATATACATTCAAATAAGTATTTTAAACTGACTATTTTTAATCCATATCTATAAACATATAGTAATATTTTTAGAATAATCTATTTTTGATTGTCTGTTACTTCATACGTGCCATTGCACACCAATCAAATAGTTTCATGCAAATACCCAGCGTTAAATTATCAAATATAAATTATCATGAATATTTATTTGTAGAGAAATAATTTTCATTGAAAGCAATAAATGGAAGCTTTTGTTGTGATTTACCTTTAATGGAGTGGGAATAACACGTTGATGATCATATAGAATGCAGTTGAATGAACCATAAACGCCATCATTGATGTAGTACATATTGTGAGTGATAGAATTTGGTGACAATTTGTCATGACGCACAGAGCGTTTGCTGTGAATGCTCGTAGCTAGAGTAAAAGCTGATGCGACGTAGAAACGACCAGGTTCAGCGATGATATGGACATCGTCAGCTGTAAAAATAAAAAAAGTTTGTCGTGAATAAAAGGAATAACTAGTTAGAAGATAAGAAGAGTAATAGGAAAAGAAATTAATAAATCAACTTACTATTAAAGAATTCATCGAGTGCTGTGTTGATAACATCAGCAATCTTGTCAATGCTTGTTCCTCTATCACCAGGGTAACCCCCACCAAGATCGAGGAGATACGGTTTGAAGTCAAGATCTTTAGCCATGTCAAATAGATTTTTTGCATGACAAATTGCTCGATAAAATACTGGTGGGTCCTGACAACCAGAACCTACATGGAAACTAATACCAATGACATCCAAATTTAACATTCGTGCTAAACGAAGGAGATTCGGTGCTTCACAGACTGGATCGCAGCCGAATTTCATGCCCAAGGGACACTGAGAAATTTCCGCATCACAACGAATGCGAATTACAATCTGAAAAATTTATTGACATTCATATTTTTATTTTTCGAAATAAATTGAATGAATATTTTATTTTTTAATTATAAATTGCTAGAAACTGACAATAATTTTTTTATTGAGATTTACATACCTTAGCTCTTGGATGAATTTTCTTGATTTTGTGCAATTCACTTTCGTTATCCACAGTTGTAACATCAACTCCAACAGCAGCAGCATGACGAACGTGGGAAGCAGGTTTAGCTGGATTAGCAAAAATAATTCTTGAAGGATCCACTCCTGCATTAAGTACTTTATTTATTTCTGCCTGAAATATTAGAAAAATATCAATTAATAAACTAGTTATTTGTTGATAAATTTATGTGTACAGAAATATTTTTGGTAAACTTACTTTAGAAGCACAGTCAAAACCAGTTCCTAAAGCAGCAAGTACTTCAATAACAGTGGGAGAATCATTGCATTTAACAGCATAAAAAGGTTCCACTCTGGGTAATTTCTCTTTCCAGATTTGATGTTTCTTAACAATATCTCCAACATCAAGTACATAAAAAGCTTCTTCCTGCAAGCCACTTTTCACAATATCTTCGATTATTGTCATTACGGTAGATGAGCTGTCCAACACGTGAATGCGTTCGTTTGAATTTGTGACTTTCATGGTTGGATTTAAGTGATTTATTTATTAACAATTGTTTACTCTGCAGGCGCTAGGCAGCAATCTAAAATGAAATTCATTTACAATAAATAATTATTTACAGAATCAACTATCAATTATTCAAGTTGAAAGTTAAGAACAGATAAATTATTTATATATTTAATTGTAAATAATTATGCCAATATTATTATGGTTGTAGTAATTATACAGAACAATGAAAGAAAATATTATAAACAATACGTACGAGGCAGCTGTCAATGAGAATTGGAAGAGTCGTGGGGAGGCGCGTTAAGACAATATCAGTGTTAGGGGTGCTAGCAAAGCCACGGGGGCTCTGCGTTCAGGGCCAACTTCCAATTGCCGCTGTTTTTTAGATCTTTTCCAACAGACTGGCCGACCAGTCTATCGCAGACACAATCCTGAAACAATATCACATTTTTTTATTTATGAAAAAATCATCAAGTTTACCAAACATTCCCATTCATTCATTCAGATGATTTTTTTCCACGTAGCAAACTTAAATAATCTAATATCAAGTGTTCAGTCAACATACTCGGCTGTAGGATGAAATTCTCGAGCCTTATTTCAAACTTGAAAGGAAAAAATGTACAAGAATGAGAATTGTAGGATAGTAATAAATTACGTGTTGAAGATATCTATAAGTAATATTGATATGGAAGAATAAAAACCAAGAAGATAAATTGAAAGATGCAAAGTCGAAAGATGTTTCAACTGGCTAGAAGGAGCTCTTGCCAATGAGCAGAATCGATGAGTACTGAATCCGATGTAACTATTTTGGCGACTATTTATATGGACATGATAAGTATTATCAGGCAGCCATGCTTGGTACCAAGTCGACTTGAGCGAGAATCTTATCTATCAACTTGGAAATACTGGATTCATCGAGATAATATCTATATGATTTAAGAATGTGATGAACAGACCACTTGGGCTTTTTCCTTCTTCATTAAAGGTGTCAGGTATCTATGATACAATCATGTAATCATTCTTTTCTAGTACTGCTAATCATTACACTTTATTAATATAATACCTTGTTTTAAAAAAATGATATGTCATGACGTACTATTATTACACTTATTAAAAATGTTTTAAGCGTAATAATTATTACATTTACAATCATGATGGCTTATTTTATTACGTAAAAAGTGGGAACCCAATCAGAATTTATCAAAAATTTTCAAGTGCTGCTAATCTTTAATTTCATTCTATTTTTAATTTAATCGGTGATTAAATTTAATAAAGCAATTAACTAAGATGACAAGTCGATTATAAATGTAAACAATTCAGTTAACTTCAGTAATGATCCATTGATAGTCTTCAATAATTATATTTACTCTATCGTTTTTAGGTAAATGGGATTAGTCATAAGTGATTAAAATGAAATTGAAATCAGATGAGAAAAATAGATTGGGGGAAAACAGTTGCACCATTTCCAGCAATCATCAGGATTTACTACGAAATCTGATACTATATAGTTTGATGGTATAAGTAAACATTGAAGTCACTAAGATTGTCGTCAATGTGTAACAAGAAAAACTATTTTATAAAAATCTAATAATAATTATATCTTAATTTCTATTAATAAAAGATAATAAGAAGTAATGAAGAGTTTCCTGAAATTCTTGGAAATAATTCATGTTATCATTTCAGGAGTATTTTAGTAAAAAAATTTCAGAAAATGGAGAATGTACTTGACACATTGATATTAGATTACTTTTGATAAAAAAGGAAATTAACCTTGAGTAGATATTATTTATATTAAGTATTATTTAAAAATATTGATATTAATTCAATTATCTCTGGATCATTATCACTTGAGTTTTGAGATATTATAATTTTTAGTGCATAAAATGTAGTATAGGGTATTTAATCTAGTGTCAATAATGATCATCGATTGTAGAAGTGACGAAATGATGATATGAAAATAACTCAGTAACCTAAAAAAAAAAAAAGTCGATTATAAAAAAATTAGTAAATTGAATAAATTTTATACTTTAAGGCTTAATCGTTAAAAAAAAAAAAATTCCTCACGAATATCTTGGAATCGTATGATTCATTGCTGATGAGGTATCTAATGTCTGTTCATATGACATTGGCTCTCAAGTATGGAGATGCCATTTTCTACGTAACAGATGAAAGTGAAAAATAATATGAATAATATAATTACCTTATAAAATGATCGCCACCCTGCGGGCCGGCACTCGATTAAAGGCGGAATGATGGAGGTTTTCGTTGACTTTATCCCAAAAATAAGTCAAATCGTTTTGGAGCTCTGGGTACGTTGTTCTTTGAGTAGCCAGAGCTTGTCGGATTCACGAGCTATAGCTTTTTGAAGATATGAAGCCGAAAAGTACATTCGTTCGCAGATTATTCGCTTTTCGTTAGTTACTTTACGCGTGTGCGTCACTACTCGTTTGGATTATGATATTCCAATTAATTGAACTCGTCACAAAAAAAGATATTTATCAAAATTTTCAACAGAACTCCTAAACGTGGACGACGAGACCAGCCATAGGCTCGAGTGGAGACTTGAGTTCAGAAATACATTCACAAAATGCCGGTAGGAAGCGTTAGTGAACACTTTTCTAATTTTGTAGTGGTACAACTGTTTTATTATTATTACTTAGTAATCCTTTCTGTGGCAATAATTTAATTAAAAATGATTATCATTTAAAATGACTATACATGTATCGACATATTGATTACTGATAGCAAAAGTATCACGTGATCTTAAAAAATGACGAGAGTGAGTTGTCAAAAAATCTCGAATGCGCGCGCACACTGTTGACAAGATTCAAGCGGGAGATTTAAATTTATATAAAATAATGGAATTAAATGTATCTATGAACAATTGATTTAGTTGAAACTTTTATTTTTTTTTAACAAAATTAAGATATACATGAGTTACTTATATAAATGCCTAAAGCTTTTTTTTTGTTCGAAATGGTTGCAAAATAAAATAAATGCTTAAGTTGTAGAGAATATTATTGTTTTACTCCGTTTTCAATGGAGATGTGAAAGTCCTTACAATTGTTCTAACAAACATAATTGTGCTGAAACAATTTTTTAATAAATTATTATGAGTGAGAATATATTCTTCAATATATTTGAATATACTTATCAATGATTATTCACCTAATAACCGCGATAATTCCTGCTGGCATAATTTTTCCTGAGTTGTAGAAACGATAGCCCATCATACCACCTAATGTAGCACTGGAACCCAGTAAAACCATGCAATTTTTAGGATCATTGGATGTTTGATAGGCTCCATAGCCTAGAAGTGAACCAAAAAGTAATCCAGCAGCTAATGATGGTATAGATTCTGCAAAAATAAATATGTAGAAGTTTCTAATAATTTTGCATAATGAAGTTGATGAAGCAGTTTTTTTATTTTTACTTACTTGACTTCACATAGCCTAGGATTCCTCCACCAACCACTGTAGCTGCATACGCAAATGCTGCGTAATCAATTGGCATCTTTGTTTTTTGTCAATTATTAATTACTATTTTTCAAAATAGCAAGTAAGGTTACAACGTCAATAACAATTGATATGCGTCTTTAGATAGAGCTCAAACACTTGTGTTTCTAAATACACTTTTCTTGACCAGTTTAGTGAGAATCTCAGACCTAGAAACAAGTAAAAGCTATCAAGTTGTCAGCCTGTTTTCAGAAGTTACCAATATTTTTTTTAATTATTTCAATTTTTTTTTTGTCATGAAAAAACAAATAAATTAATACCAATAAATGATAATGACATTAAAAGATAATTAATGAGAGCTTTTATGAACAAAAAAAATTTATAAATATTTTTAAAACTGTTTTTAAGTAATATTTATTATTAGAATGTCATGATTGTTGATTTATGATTGGATGATTAGTCTAGAATTGAAAATAATGAGTAATTTACTGAAAACATTGATCATTGTAGAATAAAATTGTGTTAATTCTTGAAAAAAGTACAGGATTCGAGGTTATGATAAAAAGCTGTGAAATATTCCATCACGTCAGTCGTCAAAGTACAGTTGCGTAATAACAATATACACAATCAAGCGATTGTTAATTTTTGAAACAAAAATTTATATCTAACATTCCAAACGTCAACAATCATTATCCTATAAGAGTCATTAACAATAAAAGAAGAAAAATGGTATCAGAAAATGTACTTATTAATACTGGAAATGTATTTGCTATTGACGAATTAAAATTAAAAGCAGGAAGAACATCAGATAAAGAAGTACGTGAATTCATTTCATTTATGTGATTAAATTTATTAAATAATAATCCATTAGAAATTTTGATAGAATGATTACACTAGAAACTGATTCGTACATTAAAGTAATTTGAATGTATGCTAACATTGAGGTTATACACATTAAGATTAACAATAAATGTGCACACTAGTTGAGAGTAAATGATAATAATTGAATTGTTTCATTGCAGCTGATTGATGCATTACAAATTGTTATCAAGGATCCACAAAAGAACACTGTAAGCATATATATGTTCATAAAAGTGCTCTTGGAATTTTACAAACTTGGTGATTTCTTATTTAGACAGGTGAAAATGACATCAGTGCAGGGGGTGATGATAGGAAAGAGTTGATGTTTACAGTGAAAATATTTATGCCTGAAGCTGATCCTAATGTATTGAGAGATGCTCTTAATCAAAGTAAATCTATTTATTTGATGGCTATTTTATTTATTACACTTTTAAGAAGAAGAAGAATTTTCTTTGAAACGTTTTATGGAAAATCTTTATTAAAGGCTCTAGATGTAAAACTGAGCAAAAGTTTATGAAAAAGCTGACAAAATTATTATTTCAATTAGATAGTATGATTTCTATGGATTTGTTTTATCAGGAATTGTAATTAGAAAACAATCAGCAATGGTGTTTATTGAATTTTACAAAATAATTTTCTCAAGCTTGAAAAAAGTTTTGCTTCTCCAAATTAAGAGTTTTTAGTCTAAAATTTTATTAAAAATTTTAAGAGTATTTTTAAAAGTAAAATATAGATTAATTGATTCATTAAAAGGAATAATTGAATACGGTACTATAATTACACAATTATATGTAATCAAAAAATTAATGATTGCTTAATTAATTACAGTACTCAAAGTACTCCACACAGAATTCATAGAAACAGTAATCCTAGCATATGGAGACTTTTCCGACTCCGGTCTCAGAGATCGGAAAAAAGAATTACAATCGCTCCAGCAGTTGTGGTCTGTAATGGAAGAGTTCTTTAATGCCGGGAAAGTCTTATCAGGTGGAGTCAGCAATGTTGATACCACAGTGTTTATGCAATTATATGAATGGGCAAATGTAAAGAAAATCATTTAGTCATTTCTATAACTTAAAAAAAGAAATTTCATCTGAATTTTTTTGTGGATAATCTATGTCTTATTAAATGTGTAGGTCAAACCAACTATCGTACAAATAAATCTACTAATGTGTTGTGTCGTTCCTCCTACTCTTCAAGCATTTACGCAAGAACATGACATTCAATTATTAACTCACAACGATCCTAATCGTAAGTGTTAGTAATTTCATCAATTGAATATTGTGAAACATGGATATTAACATTTTTTACAATTTACTTACAGAATTATTAAATAGGAATTCAGTAATTGATATCTTCGGTGCTAATGCTGATTTAAAGTGGGTCGCTAAATATCAAAAGATAATCAAATGTAGAGGAGTGATCACTTCAATGGGATACCTTGTAAATATTTCTAAATAATGAGACCAAATATTTTAATTGGCATTTTTTCCATTTGCATTGCATTAATTATAGTTGAGAATTGACAGTATATTTTCGAGTATTTTTTTAGATTTTTATGAAATAGCAAAAACGATTTTAGCATTTTTTATAAGTAAAGTAGTTTATTGAGTATAAAAATCATGTTGTTTTATAGATAAAGAATATTATTTTATTAAAAGAAATGTAAAAAAATATTTTGACGCCATTAATAAAATTATCTGTTACTTAATTAATTTGCAATTTCATTCAATGATTAGTAATATTTATTCACAAAATTTGAATAATTCAAGCATAGACATTCAAGTGATTTTAAAGAGCTGGTGTGAGCTTAAAATTAAACGTAGTGTGTAAAAAATGCTGATAAAAGATGGATTGACGACAATCGATTTTAAAATGATTTAAAATAACTCTGAAGTATCTTTTTATTATTCATGACAACAAGAAAAATATTATTTGAAGACTGAATTTTTAATTCTTCCATATTTACTCTAGACTCTTGATAGAAACTGGTTTATCAGCTTTTCGAATATAAATTTGAGGGTGAATAAAAATAAATCCATCACTGCATGCAAATCGAAGGGATAGATTCGAACTAATTTAAAATTCATGTGAGCTCAAGAATGATGGTATAACCCGAGCATCTGTTATCCGATCGAGATACTTTTTTTTGTTTATTTTTTGAGTCAATTCAAGCCTCTGTGTCTGTCAGACACTGTGCTACAGAATAAACTATAAAACATCATCTACTAGCGAACAATAGTAATTTTCCATAATCAGTTAACAACTGCTTTGTTTTAATTTTTAAATCTTTATTCTGATTAAATTACCTTGCTTCAGATAAATTTACTTAGTCATATTAGTGATAAGAATTGAAGAAATATAATATACTGTTTTTAGAGTCAGACAATATTATTAATGGAATATCATTCTTAAATCCAATATTTAAACAACGGTTCGTAAAAAAAATTTAAATCATAACAACTACAATCAAAGATTTTTTTTATCTGATTAAATTACATTTTTTTTTACATTTTATACTTTTGAATTTATTTTATTAAAAGAATTCTCTTTTAAATGATTAATTTGTTGATTAAACTCCAGATGAAAAAAAATATTTAAAAAAAATAAATGTTAAAATAATAATTTTGGATATGTTGAAAGATTTAGGTTAAAGAAATCAACATAAATTTATTAAAAATAATATATTTTTGCTCTAGTTAAAAAACTTCTTGGATAACGATAAAGGGAATTTGAATATGGATACGAAGGCGTATTTTTTTTGGCGGTTCGTGTCCCTCACTAGCAGTAGCCGATCAGGAGTCGACTAGGTAGAAGCAGAGACACCGAGAATCGCTGGTTTTATGTGTGTGTCCCGTCGTCGCGGGCCGACTCGATGTATACACTTGGATTTTTCGTTTTAGCTTGCTCTGGCTGGCTTCGGATCTCCCTTTGGCTGTGGTTTCCTTGGCTCTTCTCTTATTCCTTGGCTTTCTCCCACAATAGACCTCTCTTTTCCTTGGCCCTTTTGCGTTAAAGCCGCACCGCGTGGCACACAGAACAACAGAGAACGATGGGGACGGGTCTTGGATAGCGTAAACGTCGCTCTGAACTCGCCAGCATTTTTCTCTCTTATCTCTTTGTCTTTCTTATACTTACCAGAGTACTCGTAGCTTCTCATCGTACTCACTCAGGTGCACATCTTGAGGCGTGTGTCCTTTTCCATCCTTTTTCCTCTCCTCTTGCACCTTCTTGGACTCTGGTCGTCGTTCACCCCCTTTAGAACTAAAGGACTCAGTTCTCTTTGCTTCTCCATTGCTTCTACCGGGCGGGGTATGCGAACGATAGTATGTTATGCCTCCAGACCATGGCTCTGACATACTTTGTATGTTAATGCCACATAATGTCGGTTTTGTTCCTGTTTTTCCAACGTTTATTTGTTCGGCTTCTCTTTTGCACACGCACACCTTCTTCTTCATACCTAAAAAGAAAATTCTGCTCTTTTTTTTTATTCATAAAACTCTCTGAGATCTACATTTTTTCTGAATGACAAGTGTCCTTTTACACGTATATTCACACAGAAAAAATCAACTATCTTTCAACTTTTTTCAAAATAAATCCATTAAGTTTCTTTTCTTTAATTTTTTAATGACTTTCAAACATGTAAAAAAAAAAATTGTTGATTTAAAGTTTCTTTCCTTTTGGAGAAACTTTTTCGTTATTGGTGTTCAACTGGTTGTATACAACTTAATTTAATAGAAACGAGAATGAATTTTTAATTGTTAAAAAATTTTATCTCAATCAAACATGATTTTACGTGAGTGTTAACAGTCTTGATTTTTTTTGGAATATCTTCTTAATCTGTGAATAAAATCTGAAAAAAATGTAATCCTGATAATTCTTTTTCAAGCCTTCAAAAGTATCCACTATCGAATTGATCTTTAGAGATATGCGCTTACTCTTTAAATTGCGTTAAGGTGACAAAAAATGGCGAAACATATCCATGGGTCTCTCTCGAATTTAAAGTGAACTCGAGGACAAAGCTTGTAGGTGTCATCGCATGTTACTTTAACACGGTAGCACTGCACTTACTAGCTAGTACTCTTTGTTTCTTGGAATAAATCATGATTCTGTATACATCTACCTTATGTTTTATCACATAAATTGCACGTCAAAAATTACTTTTAATAGATCATTATCTAATTATGAAAAACATAAAAACGTTTTTTAAGACAAAAAAAAATCCAAAGTAAATCACTCATTTTTTCACAAAAAAAATATTAATTGAACTGCATCAACATTGAGGTAATTGAGCAATCATTAAAGGGTAATAAGAATTATACATTTTTATTATAAAATGTTTACTGTAAAAGTTTTGATTAATAATAATTAAAATTGATCTTTTTCCTCATGGTCTTTAAGATATGATGTGATTCATCACCAAAATGTTCAATCAAGTAATTTTAGTAAAAAATCATATGATCTTTACAAAGACATGTAAATTAGAATTATCTTCAATTGTTCCTCATTGAAGAAAGTCACAGTGAAAATCATACCATTTTTAATTACAACAATAAAAGTTGTTTAATAATATTTCAAAACTCTTCTTTTCCTTTCTATGATCATCCATTCTTCTCAAACATTCCATCCAAGTGTAAAAAAATCACTAAACGGAGTTATTTCTTGAATTTGATTAATTCTCAAACATCAAATAGAGACTTCAGTAGTATCACAGTAGTTCTGCTACTAATTTTATCAAAGGAAATAGACAGAGTAGACATGAAGGGCGCGTGGTGACGTATGAATGTGTGCTATTGATGGACGCACGACCCGACGATGGTAACTCTAGTGTACAGCAACATTGAAGCTGTACTGCAAGGAGATAAACTGAGCGAGAGATGGGAGAGGAAGGTTGATGCAGCGATGAATAGAAACTATATATCTGGGTGGGATGAAGCGAGGGATGACTGTACGTCTTGAAAAGTATCTTGACGTCAAGCGATTGAGTATGGTATATAGACCTGTTGCATGTGATCCATCCGGTGTGTGACAGGTGATGCAGTAACGGAATTGTCAGTGTTTATTTATTTCATTTGATTTTTTATCCTTTTTTCTTTACTCATCCCATGCATACTATAATTCTGCTTTGCTTGAGAATAAAATTTGCAAGAAAGTTACGCCGTTGCGCCCCGATACTTACACAAGTATGAACGCCATATACATCCCTCTTCAAACCGCTTTAAACCGACGCCGCCGTAAGAGGGAGGTAAAAGCCCTGGTCTCGCTCCCGTGCGATGCAAAGGCGGGTATAAATAAGCGGCCTGTCGTTTGCGGAAGCAGAAAACGGCCAAAAGGACAGAAATAAGAGGAAGAAGAAGAAGAAGTCGCTGGAAAGAAGAGACTAGTGGGTAGAGCTGAGAGGTATGAGGGCGGCGGCAAAGCAGAAGCAGTATGAGACAGAGAAAGGAATAAATAAGTCGGCGAGTAGAGGAGCAACGACGCGTTCCGCCACCCTGCGGTTCCTCAGGGAAGAGGATCTTGCTCGAGATCCCAGAGAGACTTTTGCCGACGCTTTTTTCAAGTCCTCGTATATATATATACCAGATCTACTGCTTCCAGGACGTTCTTCCAACCTTTTTTCTGAATTTCCATCGCACAAAAGACAGGTGTACTGAGATATATACCTACTAAATTAACTGCTCGAGTTTTCTCCTTAACCCTTGCGGTAATGCTGATGAATTTTTAAAAGTCTAATAAATCTCCAATAACTTGACTACTTTTTTATCCTTTACTTTCTTTTTGTTATGACAGAGTGATAAAAAATTATCCTTAATTTTACAATTTAGAAAAAAAAATTAATTGATTAAAGCTATTTCATTTAGTGGTAAGAACTCCGAATTGAAATTGTCCTCAAAAACCTGTTTATTATGCAAAAAGTATTTTTTTTATGTTTATGTTAATTTTTAGGAGATTAAGTGGAATGAGAGTAGGATATTTGCGGATGTAATCATCTTTTACGATTTGCAGATTTTTTCAGCACAGATATTAGATGAAAAAAGATTAGATAAAATTATACAACGTCTTGCTCCGCTTCAGTCTTCCCTACTTCGTTCTGCTGTAAACTGAAATAGTCATTTGCATGAATAATTTTTTTACCTCTCGCATTACAGGCAAGAATTAGTAGAGAAAATTAAATGATTTCCTGGCTGAATAAATAAATGAAAAGAAAAAAAAATGATCTAAAAGGCAGAATGTGCATGTGAATATCTAGATCGAGATATGAATTTTTCATTTATCTCACCCTTTTTCTTATTCCGAAGCTGATCGCCTTGCTTCAGTATGCATATATATATATTTATGTAGAGTAACGAAGCTAGAGTACTTATAATGTATATACCGGTAGATAACCGATACTTTATATATATCAGAGGGCCGAATGGAGCGGAACAGAAAACGGAACAGAAGTGAAATGCACATGCGAATCGCAGAGGCACAGGCTGACTGGGCACACAGCATGTTTATTGGCGCATCTCACAGTCTTAAATCTTTATGTTGTCTCCGTTGCGGCGGGTTCTGTCCCTTCTATCCTATCCATTGCACAAGGGTCTCCAAGTATAGGCAGAGACGTCGGGGGAAAGGAAGCGACGAAGCGCGAGAGAATGAGAAGAGCAGCCAACCAAGGGGACAAGGGCGGTGGTGAGAAAGGGTTTCAGATGGGGAGATATATCTTTT